CAGTAGTTAATTATTTAACTTTGGGATTTCCCTCACTGAATTATAATTTTATTTTGTATTTGAGTAATTGTTTCTCCTTCAAATCTACGAATTGCGCGTCTCGGATATTTACAATATTTTTGTTCAATTCATTGTAATTCACATTACATCATATACGCTACCATTCTAATCGCTTCATATTTTATAAAATATAATCTTTGAATATTTTAATTAGTTGAATTACATTTCTTTAATTGCCTCCGTCATATTCTCTAATCATTGCGATCTTGTGAAAGGGCCCGTATGGGACTAGCGTATCTCCGGATCCACAAAACATTAAGTCCCGTTAACAATTAATATTGTTAGGGCAAACAAATCCTCGAGGCTTTATACGCGCGCTTCCTGCACGTAACAACCTTATCCAAGATTGAAAATTAAATTAATACTTAGTAAAAAAAATTGATTTCATATTCGTGGAATACGACATTCCTCCATTTATCAGGAATGAGTTCCAGTGACTCAGAGTATACACAGAACCTCCACCACATGTGCATTAATAATATCTTTATTATATTGTTAATACGAATAAAGAAAGGAATTTGACTATATATTTAAGTTTAAGGTGAAGTGGGGTAAGTGCAGACTGGTTTTTGTAAAATTAATATTTAAACGTAAGTATTTTCAGTCTGGTATGTAAATACTTTACTAGCTGTCGGTATCGAACGCTTTGCACAATTACCATTATTTGATTAATATTAACTAGGACCTTAATTTTCCTTGTACAATTTGGTTTTTGACAGGAAATTGTTTAAAATGTCAACTACTCTGCACTTTTCCCGAAAATGGGGTAAGAGCGTAACTTGAAGTAAAATTCTTTGAGACTTTATTTCATGTGCAATGGGGCAAGAGCAGAATTATTAACAAATCTGCTATAAAATGTTTTTTACTGCGTTATGCGAGTAGTCTATACTGCAAACAAATACTCTTATAGCTGAAATATAGAAAGAGATATAGTGAAACAAAACAAGCAAACAAACATACTAAATAGAGAAATTTCACTCATATTGTAATAAGAATAGCCTATATACGCACTTGCCCCGTTTACGAACTTATCCCACATCACCTTATACATAAATACATGTATTTAAAATATATTTACAATTTATGTTACATTCTCTGTTTATCTCAGATAAGGCTATCATCTTAGAAGAAGGATTCGGCAACACTGAAGGAACATCCGTCACTGAGCCTATGGTGGAGAGAAAAAAGAAGAAATGCAACTTGGAAAGATTTTTAATGTACGCAAGACTTCTAATGTTTTTCAAAGTTATAATATTCGTCGCGTGGTTGTGCGCTCACGTATATAGGAATTATCGTAATCAAACCGAACAAGAGAAGATCATAATGATAGACACCGCTAAAAGAGCGGAAGAGGCGTATTTTTTGGAAATGCAAAATCGCTTACAAGAAGTGCAAAATTGGCAAAGCAGATTGTAAGCACTTTTGAGAATCAGTTGGACAATGATAAAGTGTCATTAGCAGAACGATGCAAGAAATTAATTTGCGATGAGGGTGCAACATCGAGGGTAAATCGTTTGCTTTGGGCAAAAAAGATGGAAATAAAAATGGAGGAAAATCTGTAAAACAATAAATTGGAAGAAAGAGTCATTGTCAACCCAAGTGTGTGAGGAGGTTGATTTAAAGTGAAAAAAGCTTCTCGGTGCTCCACCTATAGTGGTCACGTCCAGAGTTACATACTGGTGAATAAGAATATTAATGACAATAACAATTGCATCACGCAAGTCTACTATCTCGCTTACTCTCGAAACGTTTGTGACTGACATTGTTTTTGACCTAACTGATATGCGTCACTGCTTGAACGAATAGTACTACTGTCAGAAACATATGAGGTGTCCATTTTTCTATTTTGACTAATTGGAGACGTGTTCTTCCAAACACATGGGTCATCCTCTTACGCGCCAATTCCTGATTTGACTACACTAATTTCGACTCATCGAAGTCGTAAAAAAATATTCTAGTATGGAATTTTTATTTTCTTCTGTTTGCAAACGTCATAACGCTAAGGTACAATTGTACTATAATTCAACGTGAAGAGATGGCGAATCTACGGAATTAGAAACTGTATAGAAATATTGAGAAAATGGCTACGCCGAAAATGTTGGATCAACGACATATTGAGTGTTGCCTTCCTAGAAGAACTATTATCGACTGAATCATTCGACTGAAATTTTTGTACATATTAAATTAGCAATGTTGCGGATTTGCAAACTAAGACTGTGAAGAGACGTTATTTTTTATATTTTCATTAATGAAAATGTACGTAAACATTGTGGACGAAAAAATAAACATCATCAAGCAGAATCAGCATTCATCTTCATTTTGTTCACTTCCATGCAAATAGTAATAAGTGTCATAAACCATATGTGTATTGATTAAATAAAATTATATGATTTTTTAAATGTTTAAACTAGTGCAAAATTAACCTATTTTGTCAGTTATTTGTTTACAATTTTTATACAACTTTTGGATTTTTAAATCTTCAAATTACTCAAGTTTTCTGAATCTATAATTTCTAATTTTTTAGTTTTTCTATTCTGTATTTCTTAAGATTTTAAACTTCTATTTTTCGAAATATCAATTTTCTTTATTTCTAAATTATCAAGCTTCCGAGTTTTCAAATTTTATAACTTTTTAAGCTTTACAATTGCAGAATGTCAGGTCCCTAAATCTCCATATCCTCAAATTTTCGAATCTCAAATATTCTAATTTTTGAATTATTAGGTTTCAGTACTTTTAAATTTCCTGAATTTCCAGAATCTTAAATTCTAAAATTTTCTATACTTCCACTTTTAAATCTCCAAATTCTCAAATCCCTAAATTCCATTTTCCATATTTTTAAGGTTCTGAACCTACAAATATCTAATTCCCAAATTTTCCAAATCACCATATCCATAATTTACAAATCTCCAAATTCATAATGTTCCAAGCGCTGAATATTTCAACTTTCTAAATTCAAAAATTATTAAATTTCCTAATTTCACTAATTTCTATACCCTCAAATTTCCAAACTAAATTTTCAAATATCTAACTTACTAAACAAGTCACAGAGTTTTACATTCTGTAGTTTCTAAATTTTTATATTTTCAATTTTCTAACAGTCCCAAATTCTTCAAATTTCCAAAACCTCCAATGGTGTGATACCAAAATTTCTGAATCACCCGATTTTCAAATCATTCAACTTGCACATTTATTTATTTGAATTCATCTCCATTCAAATCTCTAATTTCATTACATTTGAAGAAGAAAGTTGACGATAACAATTGTAATTCATGTAAATGATGATTTCTAATTAATCTCGTTCTTATTATTGAAAATTTGAAAATTGTTGATTTTACTTTTATTTGTCTAGTCATTTAAGTGATAAAAGTGGAAATTGAGTCGTTGAGTACACGTACACCCAGCCTTGAGCAATTTCTGCTTACAGAGGATGTTTCTAGTAACTGAGAAAAAAAGTTGTATAGAAAAAACGAATGGTACGCATAAAAATGGTACGCATAAAAAATAGAAGTGTAAATTAGGAAATAATGTATTTTAATTTAAAATTTAATTTAAGTAACATAAATTTTATAATTATTACATATGAAATAATACTATAATAATGGTAATAACAGTTTTACTTTGTATAGCATGATGTAATTAATTATGTTATTATAATTATATTCATATTGTTATTTTGTTATGTTAATTACATATCACACATGTCATGTATTTTTAAATTCGCTATTTTTATAACTTTTCTTATTTTTATATTAATATGTTCAAATTTTACGGTCACACAGATATTTATTCCATTCAGTGTAACAATAAAGTATCTCTATTGATATTCATTTTAATGATTGTTTTATTAATATTTATTAATAAGAGTACAAGTATGTTGTCAAACTTTCTATAACAATTACGTTCTTTGCAAAGAATAAATATTAACAATAGAAATTACGTAACTATCGTTCTTAATCATTTATTTTTCAACGTGTTGTCAAGCTTAAATAACATTCACGTAAATTATTTATAAATTACGAAAAACTAAATAATAGTACGTATCATAATAATTCAGCACGTTTAAGAGAAAGAAACAAATATAGAAATTGTAAAAAATTTAAGAAATTTAAAATAATAGAAAGAGTAATAATATTTTACAATATATAAACTTCTTTTAAGATTTTTGGACGGTTCATAGCAATCACCCTTTCTTTTGTTGCAATTCTTCATAAATACAAATATACACAGTATGTCCGAGAAGTAACGGAATTTTTTAAATTTAAGGAAAAATATTAGCGCCATTTATTAAAACAATATGTCATTTGAAAACAGTATACCTTCCCTACAAAACAAAACAACCATTACTGGAATAAAGCCACGAATTATAAACTTATAGCGTTTAATGCGACAGAACCTTTCGTCACCGTGTCACAAAATCACGGGCAAGCGCAACAAATTGCTCGCGTTGAATATTACGAGGATCTTATCAAAATAGCCAGACGAAACTGTAAATTACTGGAATCAATTGTAACTGGTGATGAGATTTGGCGTTTCAAGTATGATTCTCAAACAAAGCGCCAAGGTGCTACGTGGAAATCTCCAAGCCCTCCAAAATAAAAGAAATTGCGATTCCAAAAGTCCCGAGAGAAGACAAGGTTAATTAACCTTTACGTTTTTAAAGAAATTACACTTCGGGAATTCGTTCCACAGAGACAAAATGTTAACTGCGAATATTATGTGGGTGTTATGCAACATTTGTGGAAGAGGATTGTTCGTGTGAACCCCGAATATCGAGTGTCGGAAAGTTGGTTTCTGTTGTATGAAAATGCGCCATGTGAATTGTCGCTGTTCGTAAATTTTTGGTGAAAAAAACAAGTTAGTGTGCTCCAACATCCGCTAAATTCGCCTGACTTATCTCCATGATGACTTCCTTTTTCCAAAACTGAAATTAGCTATAAAAGGACCGTTTTATGTCACTGTTACACAAGTCCAAGCAGCTGTGACAAGAGTGATTGAAGTGATTCTGCAAAACGTCATAAAAAAATTTATGTTAACACTGCTTGAGCGTGCTCAGCGTTGTATTGATGCAAAAGGGATGTATTTAAATAATAAAAATAATTTTAACAAAATAATTAATTCTTTTCGTTTTATTTAAAAAGTTCCGTTATTTTCCGACATATTGCGTATATTTAAAATTTGTATTTAAATTACTTTATATACAGCAATATACCGTTTTATATTACTTCTTCATTCTGAACATAAAATTGTTTATATATTAGTTTGTTAAACACTTGCACCAAATTTTTTTAAATAGAAGTTACACATTGCTGTTTCTGCACGCCATCTAGTATATAAAATGGTACTTCTTGAAACTTATCTCATTTTCAATTGGACGCTGCAAGTGCAAAGTAGTGAAAAGTGTTATAAATTTTAAGGACGGTATAATATACAACGATAACGTTGCTGTTATCACGTGTTGACTTTTACAAATTTATTTATAGAATGAAACGTGCTAGCAGAAGACCATTTCCTTACCGTTAACTCAAACAACGTAAATCTCAAATTACCAGATACACCGGTCAGTAATTTTTAAGTTTCTTTTTTTGAGAAAACAACTTACATTTGGAAAAAAGGAACAAATGCTTCATTTAAAGTATGCATCATCTAACTATACATTTTCCCATCTGCCCTTCATCAAACTGTGCCCTTCCTTAAGAAGTATTTATATTTTGAAAGAAACCAATTATCGAGCCATTTTTCGACATTTTCGTAACTGTACCAGTGCTTCTAGAAAAGTACGTGAGTCATTGGTGAAAATAAGTGGTAGTTTGAAAGGGCCAAGTCTGGTGAATATGGCGGATACAAGGGTTTCAAACCAAGCGCAGAAATTGTGCCTTTAATCGTTTTTGTTGTATGTGATGCAGCATTGTCGTGTTGCAAAATCACTTTTCCGGGCCCTCTGTAACCTCTACAACTCTCTATAACCCTCTATAATCATCCTTGTCACAGCTGCTTGGACTTGTGTAACAGTATCAGAAAACGTTCCTTTTATAACTAATTTCAGTTTTGGAGAAAGGAAGTAATCACATGGAGATAAGTCAGGTAAATTTTGAAGATGTTGGAGCACACAGACTTGTTTTTTTCACCAAAAATTTACGAACAGCGACAATTCACATGGCGCATTTTCATACAACAGAAACCAACTTTCCGACACTCGATATTCGGGGTTCACACGAACAATCCTCTTCCACAAATGTTGCATAACACCCACATAATATTCGCAGTTAACATTTTGTCTCTGTGGAACGAATTCCCGAAGTGTAATTTCTTTAAAAACGTAAAGGTTAATTAACCTTGTCTTCTCTCGGGACTTTTGGAATCGCAATTTCTTTTATTTTGGAGGGCTTGGAGATTTCCACGTAGCACCTGGGCGCTTTATTTGAGGATCATAGTTGAAATGCCAAGTGTCATCACCAGTTATAATTGATGCCAGGAAAGTACAGTTTCGTCTGGTTATTTTGATCAGATCCTCGCAATATTCAATTTTATATACTTCATTCACTATGCTTCGCGTTTAGTGAAGTTAATAGTAATTAATACTGATTACTAAAAATTAATAATTAATGCTAACTACCAATTACTGTAAAATAGTAATTAATACTATTTTGTGAAAGCGACTATTCGATCATTTATGTAACTAGCCAATACGTGACAAAAGAGGCTGATTAAAATTTTTAGTATGACTAATAATTTGATAAGATATGAAGACAGAAATGTGATGTACAAGGTGTTTCAAATTATATGTCGTTACCATATATTATCTGTTTAACTGCTAAAGAGGTGGATCATGAAAATAAAAAACTTATTTGAACTTTAACGTCAATTTTCCAGCGAATGGATCATTTTTATTCTATGGTTGCGCTTGTTTCATATATAGCATAATAAAAAGTTTCATGTATAGCATGAAAAGATAAATATAACTTTAAAATCCAAGGGAAAGGACAATTTTGCGGCAACTTTTTTTAACGAATCTCCATCGATACAGAAGTGCGGGATGACGCTAGAGTGGTCATAACAAATAGTTTTGAAACACTGCACATCATTTATTGTCACTAACATTTTTTTTTAGCACATGATATATATATATATATCTATTTAATGAAATCAATGATTCATAATTTAAGATATTATACCAGAAAACTTCTTAATATTATTTTTTCATGATAACGATAAGATTAGGAGATCAATATTAATCACGAGTGACAAAAGCATATCCATAACTTTCGATTAAATATTCATACATCTGATTGTCAGAGCCCTTAGCCTTAGCCATAGAATCTTTGGTTCGTAATTTTCCATTAATGTCGGGGTACTCCTTGGTTTTACTTGCTACGGTCATTTTAGAGGAACCCAACCCCACTTCATACGGCATATCTATTTCCACCTCCACTCGAATTTAGCTAAACCAATAGATAATTAGAAACTGTTTCCCCTCACCAATGTCCCGAAAAGTTGACTGCCCACTCCGAGCCTTTGTAAAATGTAAAACATCTTTAAAAAGTCACTCTTGAACACACACTCATCCAGAACGTATCAAAAGTCGTTCAAAGTCAAATCCACTTAACACTGCTGACGCAACGACATACATACATTTTTGGTCCTTCGAGAGAGATACTTGGCCTGTCTTGAAATACACAATTTATTATTCCGAACAATTGTTCGGGTTTACGAACATACAGTTCAATTTCGTGTCGAGATTTTGTACGAGAGATACTAGTGAATGTTAGTCCAAAGTACAGTGATATAGCATCCAAGGAGCCTACGACGTTTCAATCTAACAAGTAGCATTCAGCTGAATTAGAAGACCTTACTTGGACAAGCACTAACTACGGTGATCGACCGTCAGACCAGGAAAGTTGAGAATAGTATCTTCATTCCAGCAGTAGCGAAAAGCAGCATCCGAAAACAACGCCAATCAGATATTGCGTTATTGCCAACTTCGTGTCGGTAAGTGCTAACGATTCACCTTCCTTTTGTTTGTTTCCTACATTCACAAGTTTGCTTAGATCTCAAACGAAATGACTTCCTCGGTGAAATGGAACAAGCTTCAACTGTTGAACAGACAGCGTGATAACGCTAAGGATCAAGTGGCGCGCATTCTATTGTCTTTACTTGAGGATCCCGAAATGTCTACCGGGGCATTGATGGCACGACGGTCAAAATTAGATCAGATGTACAATACGTTTTCGAAAACTCAAACAGAAATAGAGGTTAATGACGGAGTTAGTAACCATGCAGAGGAGTGGCAATCATTTAATAATCAATTTTTTAAAGCCATGGAAATAATTAACAATCAAAAAGTAATAACAACCGAAAACTATAGAGCTGCACCCAGTTATAAGGTACCAGATTCGTCAAGTACAGTAAAACCAACCAGTTCTATTTTAAGGAAAATTGAAATCACGCCATTTAATGGCAATCCAATAAACTGGCATAGTTTTCATGATATCTTCAAATCTTCGGTACACGATGACAAGGAATTAATCGGTTTGGAAAAATTCCATCTCTTAAAAAATGCACTTTGTGGAGAGGTGTCCGCGATAGTCGAATCATTAGAGGCGTCAGAAAGCAACTATTTGGTGGCTTGGGACTTGTTATGCAAGCGATATAATAATCCGCGAAACATTATTAATGCTCATTTAAAACATTTGTTTGACTTACCAGAAACTACTCAACCTACAGCGTTGAATCTTATACAGTTAGCAGAGCAAGCTCAAGTGCATTTTAACGCGTTGCAGGCTGTAAGCAACCCTACTGAGCTCTGGAATACATTCTTAATACACGTTGTTGCGAGTAAGTTAGGTAAAAATGTTCGTGACAGGTGGGAACGTACTTTGAAAAACGAGGAAGTTCCTACATTTAAGCAACTGTTAAATTTTATTAACAAACTTGCATGCGAAGCTATTATGGGACAGGAGAATTTGAATACATTAAATACTCCGGTTACCCAAGATATACTACACTTAAAAACACAAGTCCACGATCAGGTATACGGAGAGACAGACAAAAAAAGACTAAAGACTTCTAATTAGACTGCTTATGATTCCAAGTTTCTGAGGTGAATGACGATAGGTCAAACTTAGTCCTCTCACTAAAAAACGCCCTAGCCTTTCCCACTCCGTGACCAAATTCTTTCAGAATAACATTTCTATTCATTTAAGCATCATCGAACTGCTTGGCTTTTTTACAGGGTCATTATGAAACAAATTTTTGAGTATTAGGGTATGCTGCTGTTAAGACTTTTAACTTTAACCAATATTTGTATAGAACAGTCGTTGATACTACATTCAAATTTGAGCCATTTTACACCTTAATCGCTGGGATCGAAGCAACTCTGAATTCGCACCCTTTCACACCCGCATCCTAACGATTTCCTTGCCTTATCGCCCAGTCTTTATGATTCGTTAGGATATGTACCGGAACATGATTTAGTTGACGTGCAAACTAATAAGCTGTCACTCTGGCAACACATCCAACAAATTAAACAACGGTTTTGGAAGAGGTGGCAAACAGAATATTTACAGGAGTTACGCACAATGAAGCAAATTGTACACTCAAAATCGCAGAGGAATTAAGGAGGCCATCCTAGTAACCCTCGGAAATGTCAATGCTCGAGCGCTTCAACGGCAGCTAGTCATCGCAGTTCTCCTTGGAGAAGATAATATAGTCCGCGTGGTCATAGTTTGGACTCCGTATGGCACTTACAAGTTGAAGAATTTGGTACTATTACGCATACGATAAACATCTAATGTGTTTGGTGACGGCTGAATGTCCCAACACGAGACTCTCCATCAGAATTTAGTTTCTGCATCATTGTGATTCCCGGTAATCACACATCATCTGGACGTTAACATCGTTTCCACATCATCAAAATCTAACGGGAACTGTTTCCGTAAAACTAAACAATTCGGTGTCACGCAGTTACTTAATCGTTGACAAGCGTCCAACCTTCGCGTATACGATCGTATTATTTTCATACGCAACACACTCACACACATAACATCGAAGTTTGTGAATTCTATCAATTCAAAAATCAAAGGATTTTAATGCTTTCGGGCTGTTTCCCTTTTCTGCATGTCGTCAAGTTTTTCTATGCCTCCTCATGTGCCTATGTATTTAGACGTTTTCGACCCGGTACTTGGGGAGGGGGCGCTAGCTTGCGCAAACCGATCTTGAGAGGATCACGTCTTTCTTCTTGAAGATTCAAACAATATCACGTCCAAGAGATTCCGTTTCCGTCGAAACGGAAAGAGATTCAATCGAATTAATTGAGAATTTTCGCATTGAAGATTTTCGATCGTACAGTATTTATAGAATAAAATATGTTATAATGAACCGATAAGCAACACTTCGAAAGTTGAAATTTAAATCAATTTTACACAATTCCATAAACATTTAGTCTGTCACGAGGTGATTTATTAACGAAAGCGATAAAAAGTGTTTTAAATATAATTTCATGTACAGCCGCAAACATTTTCTAACTCCTTCAAAGATACTAACACATAATTGTACATTTAGCTTTCTTAAAATTCAACAACAAATGATTACAAGACTTTCTTCTGTTCTTGTGCGTTACTCGCCTTCTAGAATATTTATTTATGTGGTTATTATTGGTTTAAAGTAAATAAAATATAATTGCATACTAGATTTGGATGTCTTCTTTTATCCTTGAAAGAGTCATCCCTGAGGGAGTTGCTTTACTAAAAAGCAACATAGAGTCACATTTTCATCAATCTAATTACTTTCCTTAATTACATTATGATACAGGGTGTCTCACAATTAGTGTAGGTCCCAAAAATGGGGGGTAGCTCACGTGATTCTGAATAAGGTATCCCTTTGCAAGAATAGGGTTTGGAGCTTCGTTTTTGAATTATTAAGCAAAAACACGGACCAATCAGAGCGCAAAAATTACATGCACCCAGAAGCGAGAGCAAAAGGTTCGAGCCTAGCATGACATACAGTAATTGTGAGACACCCTGTATAATAATCAAAAAAGAATAAACTGTAGTTGATTAAAATTATAAAAAAAGGCAAATGTCATGATTCGTCACCTTCTTTAGTTATCGTAATATATCTAACTCAACTCATTGGCTGAATGAAAGATCGTGTCAATGAATTAAGAACGTATAAGCCAAAATTTGGATGGTGGGAGTGAAGTTCCCTTGCCTCTCCACTGACCGTGCAAAAACTGATTCTGTCAATTGCACAGTATGTGACTCAATTGCAAAGTGTCAACCATGTATGTATACTCGACCAGTACCGACGGTGAGTTGTTTCAAGTATTTTATTTTTAGTGCAAAATTTATATTCCGCAGAAAGACATGTATTATAATCTTTTTATTATTTCGGGTACTATAGAAATAAAATTTGTCTTGAAATATTTCATAAGTCCATTTTTTACTATTATGAGAATTTTTTGTTCATTTTTCGCTGTATTTCAATATCTCTCTTCGAAAAATAAATTAAAGTGGTTGCCTGATTCTCTGAATTAAATTACGACAACTAAATTAACAATCAAGTGAATTATAAATAATACAACATAAACACAATATAAGTTTTAAACAATGATAAAGAAATTATAATATATTTAAGCAAGATATTGTTGCTTGCTGGCTCTTTGTTAAAAAAATCTGTTAAATTTTTATTGGACTCTACTTTACAAAACTTTACATCATCCCACTTGACTATTTCTCTGATATAAGGATATGCACCTATTAGCAAAAATGGTTTAAAAATATTTCAATCGTTAAAACTTTATCACATGTTAGTACATAACTACATACATATTCTGCATGGGTGGTTAAATTAACAACATTTGTTTGCCACTGCTTCAAGACACAGCTTAGCTAGTATTTATTACATATCCTGACATGCACTTGGAATACTTTTATTATTCGAATCGACGTCAACAAAAATTTTTATTATCTTTCCTATCTTAACATATCTTATTTGATAATCTTTGGTTTCATTGAAGTAATGGAAAATACATTTTACATCCATTCAGTTATCTATACTGAGGTTCTCACAAACCCGATTCATTAGATATGACGTATTTGTGATATCTACTCTACTTAAGGTGGACGGGAAAAGTAGACTTTCATTTGTAAATATAATTACGATGGAAAATAAAATCTTTACGAAACGAAACCGCTAAAATTTTATAATGTACATTTCGCCTTCAACGTCCAATACTATAATCCTCTTTCGTTTGTCCTTTTTAGACCACGTACATATATACATTGTTTGTTTCTGCACACGTTCACTGTACGCATTGCTACGTCATCACGCATATGTGTAGAATCAATTAACAAAGTTTCTTACACTACTTCTAGACTCTACCTGATCAGAGATCCACGTTTTGACGAGCATTAGGCATCATCATAAATGGTATACTGTAAGCTTTGTAAGGCACAATACGTCATAAATCACGTAAAACTTCTTCAACATAAAATCGTTGGCTGATGTACAATATATCCTTCGTGGGTGTAGTAATGACACTGAAAAGAAATTTAGAAGTATCCCCTAGATCCTTTATCCAATCTTTGGCACAAAAACCCCTTCACCAAAATTGTTTCTTCCTTAACTCTAACAATTACTATGTCGTTGATATGGACAGTAATAAATATTTGATCCTTCCGACACACACAAGAGTCTTTCACACACTGCACAAAGCCCATTAAAACCAATAATTTATGCAAATGATTGTTCCAGTTTCTATCTGTTTCTTTCGAAGCATAAATACTTCTTCTAAAACTACAAACAAATCTTTCTTTATTTAAATCAAATCCTGGGGATTGATTCATGTAGGTGGATACATGAGTACCCTTATTTAGATAAGCCCTCACAACATGTAAATACACAATGTCCACTCATTTTCCACAGATAGTGCCATAAGAATTTTCAGATTTTTACGCTGGTCTACTTGAGCTGAATGTCTCCAAATAATGGACATCCAGCCTTTGCTTAAAACCACGTGCTTAGGCTTGCCTTGAAACTGATAATTTTATTTGTTCGAGTGTAAATATCCACTACTAATTACATTGAAGTCACTGAAGCGCTTTACCAATTCCTATGTATCTTGAGACTTCATAGTATTTAACTTCCTCCACCTCCTTCCAATTCTGAACATGTAGTTCGAATAGGTCCTTTTCCACGTCAACCGGCAGGATAATGTGGACTTCACTCCTTTTGCGTGATGCGCCATTCTACAATACGGCAGAGTGTAAGCATCCCTGTGCGTTCGTTATCGCTTGGATTTCTTGGACTGCTTCCCGACAGGAACGGCGATGTGGTTTGGGCCACCATTACCTTGCTGCTCCTCCTTTTTTGATCATGCTGTTGCCTCTCCCCTACTTGGTCACGACCATCGCTGCCTTGTTTTTACTCCTTGTTTTTACACCTTGTTTCTTATCTCCTGGACTTGGTACTGCTCCTACTACCACGGAGAATGGAACCTCCTTGTCACGCACAAGAATTTCGTGGGTCGAGACACTCGGAGCCTTAGAGATCGTTTACACTGTGCCAGTAAGCCGTGCTAGTAGCATGGGCCAGTAGGTAGTTTAATTTTTACGTTTCTTACTTTTTCTATATCAAATGTTTCTTACTTTGCCTGAATCTCCACAATTGTGTTAAAAAAGTGGGTCAAATAATGACGTCAAATGGTGGGTCAAATAATGACGTAAGGCCTGGTGGAAGGAAGGCAAGAAAGAAAAGAAACTGTTTTCCTTTACCAACAACAGACATGATACAACCCAAGTAAGAAATGCAAAAATTCGACTACTTACTGGTCCCTGTTACTAGCACGGCTTACTGGCACAGTACTAGAAACGGTCCTTTAAGAAGAATGCATAAACGATAGACTGATGCCGTCCTGGTTTCCTAGAAGGACGCACTCTGGAGTGAGGGCTCCAAATTTCTCCCTTGTTACTCCTTCATCCAGGTCCACACTCGGCATCCGAACACACGAAGATATCGGTGCTCTTCAATGCCCTTCTCTTCTAAACTTTCAAAAACTAAAGTCAAGTGTTCTGTCTATTTTTCACGGGACGTGAGGTGTGCTACTCTTTATATGTATAATCACCATACATTCATTTTACGAAGAAAACATTCATCTTAGAACCTATATCGAATAGACATTCTTAAAACTTGTAACGAGGCATATTTTTATTTAATTGATTAGTTTTGTTTTGGTTGTTATGCCTCGTTACGAGGATCCCCCCGAATTACCGGCCCCACTCCTCCGCCCAAGCGGACCCCCTTGCCGCTGGGGCAAGAATGAGTGAGAGTGTGGTGTGTGTGTTTTTTTTTATATATTCGCCACGTTCCCC